TTGGGGGGGGGGGAGACAGGGGGAGGAGGAGGTTTAAGATGAAGGGGGAGGAGGAGGAGAAGGGGGAGGAAGAGGAAAAGAAGGGGGAGGGGAAAGGAAGAGGAAAAGGAAGGGGGAGGGGAAAGGAAGAGGAAGAGGAGGAGGAGGAGGAGGGGGAGGGGAGAAGGAGGAGGAAGAGGAAAGGAGGAGGAAGAAGAAGAGGAGGAGGAGAGGTGAAGGATAAGAAGAAGAAGAAGAAAAAGAAAGAAGAAGAAGAAGAAGAAGGAGAAGAAGAAGAAAAAGAGGAGGAAGAGGAAGAGGAGGAGGAGGAGGAGGAGCGGGAGGAGGACTCGGCGCAGCTCCGGCCAGAGGGAAGGAGTCAAGCCACGTTCCTTCACCATACACGGACTCTTAAAAGGACTCCACCCAGTTCCGCGCCTGCCTCCCGCTGCCGGGGGGGGGGGGAGCGGAGTCGGAGGATGGAGGGAGGGAAGGATGGAGGATGGAGGGAGGAAAGGAAGGTGGAAAGGATGGATGAAAGGATGGAGGATGGAGGGAGGGAAGGATGGAGGATGGAGGAAAGGAAGGAGGAAGGAAAGGAAGGTGGAAGGAGGGAGGGTGGAGGAAGGGGGAGGGATGATGGAAGGAAGAAAGAATGGATGATGGAGGGAGGAAAGGAAGGTGGAGGGAGAGCGGGTGGAAGGTGGGGGGAAGGGGGGGAAGGGAAAGGGGGAGGTGGGTGGAGGAGGGAAAGGAGGGTGGAAGGGGGAAGGAGAAAGGGGGATGGAGGAGGGTTGATGGAGGGAAAGGGAAGGAGGGGAGAGGAGGAGGAAGGAGAAAGGTGCGAATGGAGGATGGAGAGAGGAAGGAGGAAGGACCGAGTGAGAATGAAGGAAGGGCGAAGGAGGGTGAATAAAGAGGGAGGAAGTGGGAGGAAGGGAAAAGAGGAAGGAGGGAGGGGGGGAAAAAGATGGAAGAAGGGAAGAGGGAGAGAAGAGGAAAGAAGAGGATGGAATGGGGAAAGAAAAGGATAATTGAAAGAAAGAAGGGAAAGGCAAAGGATAGAACAAGAATTGAAAGAAGAAGAAGAAGAGGAGGAGGAGGAGAACACGTCCCGTTATCGGAGGAAGGAAGAGACGGAGAAAGAAAGTAAGAAAGATGAGGCAGAAAGAATGTGGAAAGCTGAGGCGAAGAGGAAGAGAAGATAATGAGAATAAAGATATGTAGAAAATAAAAGAATGATGATGATGATGACGATGACGATGATGACGATGATGACGATGATGACGATGATGACGATGATGATGATGATGATGATGACGATGATGATGACGATGATGATGACGATGACAATGACGATGACAATGACGATGATGATGATGATGTTAAGGAGGAAGAAGATGAGGAAGAAAAATAATAATAATAAGGAGGAGGAGGTGACGACGGAGGAGGAGAAGAAGAAGGAGAAGAAGAAGAAGGAGAAGAAGAAGAAGGAGAAGAAGAAGAAGGAGAAGAAGAAGGAGAAGAAGAAGGAGAAGAAGAAGGAGAAGAAGAAGGAGAAGAAGAAGGAGAAGAAGAAGGAGAAGAAGAAGGAGAAGAAGAAGAAGGAGGAGGAGAAGGAGAAGAAGAAGAAGAAGAAGAAGAAGAAGAAGAAGAAGAAGAAGAAGAAGAAGAAGAAGAAGAAGAAGAAGAAGAAGAAGAAGAAGAAGGAGGAGGAGGAGAAGGAGGAGGCGAAGGCGGCGGGGCTGGCGATGAAGCAAGCGATAAGGCGCGTGGTTTATGTCCTCCATCGACAGCCAGGGGAGAGTAGAACGACGCCTCCGATTTTCATTTGTTTTCGGAGTTTTGGCGCGAAATGGCGATTTTGGAAATTTTTGGCGAAATGGAAATTTTGGCGCTCGCGAATCCTGGAGATTTGAATCCCTCGAAAACTATATTTATAATGCGATGCTGGACAAAGGAGAGAGGGAGGGAGGAAGGGAGAAAGGGAGGGAGGGAGGGAGGGAGGGAGGAAAGGAGAGAGGGAGATGGAAGAAGGAGAGGGAGAGGGAGAGGTGGACAGGGAGGGGGTGAGGGTGAGGGAGAGGGAAGAAGCGAGAGGGAGATGGAAGAGGGGAGAGGGACAGGGATAGGGGGACAAGGAGGGGGAGGGGGAGGGAGAGGGAGGAAGGGAGAGGGAGATGGAAGAAGGGAGAGGGAGAGGTGGACAGGGAGGGGGAGGGAGAGGGTGAGGGTGAAGGGAGAGGGAGGAAGGGAGAGGGAGGAAGGGGGATGGAGGATGGGAGGGGGAGGAGGAGGAAGGGAAAGGGAGAAAAAGAGAGAGAGGGTACGGGGGAAGGAGGGAGAGGGAGAGGGAGATAGATGGATAGAGATAAATAGATAGATACACATAGATAAAGAGAGAGAGAGAGAAATAAATAAATACTGAAAGAAAAAGGAGGGAAAGAAAGAATGAAAAACGCGACAACGCAAACCAACCGACTTTCCTTCCTTGCTAATCCCCCCCCCCCCCCCCCCCCCC